CGGTTGTGTTCCTATATATCTGCTGTTCTTGTCCTTCTGGATGGAAGTGGTCATGGGTTTGGAAGGTGCTGTCTGAGGATCTTTGGTGAACTTCTGCAGCGCATCTTGTAGATAGTACAGACTGCTGCTACTGTGCGTCGGTGGTGAAGGGAGTGGATGCTTGTGGGTGTAGTGCCAATCAAGCGGCTGCTTTGTCCTGGATGGTGTCAAGCTTCTTGTGTGTTGTTGGAGCTGCACCCATCTAGGCAGGTGGGGAGTATTCCATCACACTCCTGACTTGTGCCTAGTAGATGGTGGACAAGCTTTGGGGAGTCAGGAGGTGAGTTATTTACCACAGTATTCCAAGCCTCTGACCTGCTCTTGTAGCCACTATGTTTATGTGGTGAGTCCAGTTGACCTTCTGGTCAATGATAAGCCCCAGGATGTTGATAGTAGGAGATTCAGTGATGGTAACACCATTGAATGTCAAGGGCTAGTGGTTAGATTGCAGAAATGCTAACATGTCCTGTTCAGAAATCAGTGACAACAACAGTTGATCATGATAGTAAGCAGTCTCTGATACTTTACCCCCTCCGGGATTATTCTTAAATTTAGCACTCTACTAAAATTGGAATTGGGGAAAATCCCCTGTCGTGTTTTTGCGATAGAAAGATACTCTCACAGCCAATGGTCTGAAGATCTGCAAAACAGTGCAGGTTTTAAACAAATGGGTTGCAAGTGTTTCAGTTCAAGCGATTGATGAACATTCATTACTCATTAAAGTAGTTATGTCATTGTCATTAAGCCAACTTTTAATTGCACATGTTTTCTATTATTGATGTCAAATCTCACCATCTGCCTTGTCCCCAGAATATTAACCAGGGATTCTGGATGACTGGTTATTGCTATGTCATCACTAACCCCTCTCTTCATAGTGCAACCACCTTTTCCCAGCAACAAGTTTAATCAGCCCTCATTGCACTCCACCTAGGGCTAGCGTGTTCTTCTGTGGATAAATTCATAAATACTTTACAATTTATAGACATTCAAATAATTGTGGAGGATAAGTTCGTGACAGTATGTGTCCAGTAGTGCACAGAAATCATATATCTCTGATATTTCATACCTTGTATATCAGTTTGCCCAATTGGTTGGATGGCTAGTTTGTGTTGCAGAGTGATGCCCACAGCGTGGTTCAGTTCCTGTCCTGCCTTCTCAACTTCTATCCTCGCCTGAGCTGCGGTGACCCTCAGGTTAAACCACCACCAGTCATCTCTCTCTCTCTCTCTGTAATGGGAGAGCAGCCCTATAGTCCTCTGGTGCTACGGCGACTTTACCCAAACTGAATGGAGTTTCCCAAACTTATTCAAATCATTTGCTTTTCTTGCTGCTTCAGAGTAAGATGGGAGACCTACATGGGCAACACGGTGGCTCAGTGGTGAGCACTGCTGCCTCACAGCACCAGGGACTCAGGTTCGATTCCAGCCTCGGGTGACTGTCTGTGTGGAGTTTACTCATTCTCCCCGTGTCTGTGTGGGTTTCCTCCAGGTGCTCCAGCTTCCTCCCACAGTCCAAAGATGTGCAGGTTAGGTGGATTGGCCATGCTGAATTGCACACAGAGTCCAGGGAAGTGCAGGCCAGCTGGGTTAGCTATGGGAAATGCAAGGTTACAGGGATAGGGTGGGATGCTGTTCAGGGGGACAGTGTGGACTGAATGGCCTGTGTCCATACTGTAGGGATTTTATGATTCGATGAATTCCTGTTGGCTACAGCAGGAGTCTGGTTCTGCAGTTCAAAGCTGTGGCCTGCAGTAACACGGGCGCATTTGCTGTCAACTGTCTAGTATCACATTGCATTTGAGCACTGCAATGAGACGTAGCTCTTTCTCAATGCGAAGAAGCCCATGTTTCTGCTCTCATTGGCATTCAAACTGGTATGTAACTCCCTTTATCGTTAACCTGGTTAAAGATGTTGTGAGCTGCAACAGCTCGACAAAGATTATAACATGAACACAACAGTAAAGCTGATCAAGCCCATGGCTGAACTGCATCTTAAGTTTATCAACTTTCCTTGATTCAATGACCATTTAAAAAAATCTGTCAATATCTGTTCATGTAGTTTCCATAGAACCCTCACCTAAACAATTACTTTTTGGCGGATTTGGGGGAAATGTGTGAGATTTCCACGGTCCTCTGTGTAAAGAAATGCATCATCCACCTCCATTGAACATCCTAATTCTGAAGGTTAAGATAATGCTCTATTCTACTGGACTCCCTCAAAGCTATCCGCTTACAAATCCAGTCACACTGAACATAGATATCAGAGTGCCAGTGTCTAGATCTAAAACTGTTTGTCCCAGAGATTTGGCTGTGGCAGGAGTCAGATTCAGATTCTGCTTCTATTTCTGCAGTGTAACCTGGCACCATTTGGTTGAGAGGTTACAGTTGGGTGTGAATTGTCCTTACTATCATATTATTTACAGACTAGGGCCTCCTGCATTCATCCTGAGTGCGAGTGTGTGAATGGAATGCTGTACACAGAACACTAATCTGCTCGTGTGTTTTCCTCTGTACTGGCATCTGTGTAGGCTTTCGACTGAATGCCTCTTCGTGGCCCATGTTCTTGCTGAAAACTCTAAGTGGAGCAGAAATGGCACCGGTCAGAATATTTCACAAGGTAGGCATTCTCTCCTCCATATTTTCCTTGCCTTTGCATAGAGCCTTGACGGTGTTACAGAGCGTTCTCCACTTTTTAAAAGCATCTCACTGTTAAACTCCCTTTACTTCATCAATTCCTACAAAATTTCTTCATGAACTTGAATGTTCCTGGGAATGATTTGTGTCCTCCAAGGACTGAATTTGTTTCTGCTGTTGGGAGATACCTGAACCCCTCAATTGTGATTACTCCCTCTTCCGGTTTCTCGTTCCCGAGGGGAATTGCATTGTTTCTGTTTGGTATCTGCTCACCTGCTGTGACAGCAGAGAAACCTGGTCTTCATCTACTAACTCAAACCTGCAACCTCCTCAAGAGGAAGCTGGAACTTTTAGATTTTAACATGCTCCAGTCTTCCTTTCTCCACTGGGAAAACTGGGATATAAATTGGAAAATACCAGAAACACTCAGCAGATTAAGCAGCATCTGTGTGGAGAGAAACAGATTTAACACTTCAAGCCAACCCTTATTTGAATTGGGTCAATTGTGACTGTAACACGAAGCGAGCAATTGACTTCCTGTCTGGTGAGATCAGAGCAATACACTTCCTTTCTGCTTTTTGTTAAATGTGTTTGTTAAATTGAGGTCAGAAGGTTCCTTGAACAGCTCTAAAGAGTTGTAGTTATTATGCAGTATATTACTGTCTTCAAACAGACTGCAATTTTGGGTGTGAAGATGTTTTGATGCTGCAGACCAGTCTATTAAAAAACATTTGCAGGATGATTAACAATATCTCCCACTCTCTATTTTGTTACCAGTTTAAATATGATTATTAACACCTCTGAATTCCCCAGTCCCTCCGCAAATTGGTCAAGGAATTTATCCAGTGAATATTTGACCCATATGGGACCGTGTAGATAAGATGGGGCTCATGTTTGATCCACAATTGAATGATGATGGGTTTGCAATGAAGTTATTCAAATTGGCTGTCAACCATGGAATAGAAAGACGAGAATTAGCCAATGTTTCTGACTATAAACAGAATCTAGAAACTACAGAAGTCGTGGCATTGGCCACAGATAGGTACTGAGTTTGACCAGGGTGACCCCCACCAAGTCAAATAACCTATTGACACCATCAAGGCTGGACTCCAGAGGAGTTAGATTTTCTGAAGAAGGGTCTAGGCCCGAAACATCAGCCTTCCTGCTCCTCTGATGCTGCCTGGCCTGCTGTGTTCATCCAGCTCTACACCTTGTTATCTCAGATTCTCCAGCATCTGCAGTTCCTACTATCTCTGGACTCCAAAGGAGTTAAGGGGGTGAGGAAAGAAATTGCTTCGGGGCAAGTTAGGAAGAGAAACAATTTGTTTGAGGGATAAATACCCTACTGTAGTGTCCAGGGATGTGTAGGTTAGGTGGATTAGCCATGGGGATTGCAGGGATAGGGTGGGGATGGCGGAGGGGATAAGTCTGGGTGGGATGCCTTCAGAGAGTTGGTGTGGACTTGTTGGGCCAAATGACCTGTTTCCACGCTGTAGGGATTCTATGATGGATTTGGAAAATTGCCTCTGAGTTTTCTCAGTGATTTTACTGGCTCCTTTTTAAGTCACTTTTATCTCATTCACTCTTCGCTCTCAACAACCACTTCATAAAAGCTGCACAAATTCTCCAGGATGTGGAATGTAAAGGGTGAACTCATCAAAGTTTTTAAGATATTCACAGGAAAAGACAGGATGGACAAAGATAAAGTATTTCCACTGGATGAGGATTCTAGAACTAGAACTAGGGGCACAGTCTGAGAATTGGGCCTGGACCATTCAGGAGAGATGTTAAGAAGCATTTCTACACAGGTAGGGGTTTGACTCCCTCCCAACAGGTGAGGGCTTTAGTTGTCTGATGAGGAATACGGGTCACATTGTCAGTGAGTTGCAGAATGGAATCACCTTGCAGCTACAGTGCTTTTAGATCAGAGAATATAATGTACAATAAATATCCTTGTAATAACCATACAAGGCATGGCCTGTGGTCGTGTTAGTCACTGACCAGTGCTTTGCATTAAACAGGAACCACCATCGCCTTCCCAGAACTTTTACAAAGTGGGGATGAAACTGGAGGCAGTCGACCGGAAGAATCCGCATTTTATTTGTCCAGCAACGATTGGAGAAGTGAGAGGCTCTGAAGTGTTGGTGACATTTGATGGCTGGCGAGGTGCTTTTGATTACTGGTGTCGATATGACTCTCGGGACATGTTCCCTGTGGGATGGTGTTCTCTGACCGGAGATAACCTGCAACCGCCAGGAACAAAGGGTAAGATTGATTTATGCACTGAAAAAAAAGCTTCGATTACTGCACGGGGCACTTTTAAAAGTTGTATTCTCTTAAGTTTACTGCAAGGAATTTGTAAGAATGCTGCACAATTCAGAGACTGTGCTCTGGGACATTCTCCTTTTAAGCTTTCTGAACAAAACAGGAGCTGGCCATCGAAGAACTTTAAAACAAACTTCAGTTCTTATCGATTGCAGATACTGATATATTCCTTTTTAACGTTGCAAGAAATATTTACACTGTTGCAGTAATAACAAAGATTGTTCAACAGTCAGGATGATCGAATAAAAAAGACAGCATTCCATGCTGGCAACATCTCTGCACGAAACAGACAAGATAACGTTCCAACTGTTGTCTTTTGTAGGTGCTGCCTGACTTAGTGAGTGTTCCCAACATTTTCTCAGGGTGATTACTGCAATTTTGGCAACTGACCACTAAGTGTCACTATTTGCCTAGCTGTGTGTTGACACTACGTCAAAGTTGCCCTCCATTTTGTACTTGAGACCAATAATTGGGACTCTTGAACATGAAAACACACAGACTGTGTGAGCTCACAGTGTCACAGTCTCAGGTCGAACAGTGCTGGAGCATCAACTAAGCGCAATGTTTGAACAAATGTCATAAAGGAGAAACCGGGGTTGTGGAGTGAAGAAGCAGCTCCATTGAAGTGGGTTCAATCTGAGGAGGTCACTGTGCCCTCGTAGCTACTCTTCATCAGATGATTGCCATGCTGATTTTTGGTAGAGCAGAGAAGAGGTTAATCATATTAACTTTTTAGTCAAGCAGCAACCTGTGTTTTAATGATCCTGTTGCTGTGGTAAAGAAACAATGTTTTGGAACAGAGATGGTAGGAACTGCAGATGCTGGAGAATCTGAGATAACAAGGTGTAGAGCTGGATGAACACAGCAGGCCAAGCAGCATCAGAGGAGCAGGAAGGCTGACGTTTAGGGCCTAGACCCTTCTTCAGAAATGCTTCACATCAATGTGAAACTGGACTGTGCAACTGAAGGGTTAAAACTCTCCCTCCACAAGGAACCTGTGCAAACTCTTTATATTCCTTCCGTCTGTTGAGCAGATCTCTCAAAACGATCGTTAAAATTTCGCCTGAAATGCTGGCACTTAAAACTCACAATTAGATCCAGCACCATAAAATGCAAAACAAGTCCCTTTTCAAGGGTTTTGTGGTTAAAAAATTCTGAAATTCTTCATTTCTGAAGAAGGGTCTAGGCCTGAAACGTCAGCCTTCCTGCTCCTCTGATGCTGCTTGGCCTGCTGTGTTCATCCACCTCTATACCTTGTTATCTCAATGTTTTGAAACAGCAGTTTTAACTACAAAACCCTTGAAAAGGGACTTGTTTTGCATTTTATGGTGCTGGATCTAATTGTGAGTTTTAAGTGCCAGAATTTCAGGCGAAATTTTAACAATCGTTTTGAGAGATCTGCTCACCAGACGGAAGGAATATAAAGAGTTTGCACAGGTTCCTTGTGGAGGGAGAGTTTTAACCCTTCAGTTGCACAGTCCAGTTTCACATTGATGTAAAGCACTTGTGTAGCGTAATTCAGGAACTGAGGTCCAGTTGAGCGCCTGGAAAGATGTGACATGTAACATCAAAGTGTATGTCTCATCTTCACTCCAGGATCAGGGACCAAGCATGGACTTCAGATTATTTTTCATCCATGTGGGATGGGGGAGTTACTGCTGAGGAACAGCCCATCCCTAATTGCCCAGGAGGAGATGGTGAACTGGATCTTAAACCGTGCATGTGGGTTTACCCACACTGCTGTTAGGGAGGGAGTTCCAGGGCTTTGACCCAGCGACACTGAAGGAACGGTGATATATTTCCAAGTCAAGATGGTGAGTGGTTTGATGCGGAACTTGCAGGGGGTAGTGTTCCCAAGGATCTCCTGCTTTTATCCTATTTGTTGTGAAAGCTGCATTGACTCTTAGAGGCGGCATGGTGGCTCAGTGGTTAGCACTGCTGCCTCACAGCGCCAGGGACCCAGGTTCAATTCCAGCCTCGGGCGACTGTCTGTGCAGAGTTTGCACATTCTCCCTGTGTTTGTGTGGGTTTCCTCTGGGTACTCCGGTTTCCTCCCACAGTCCAAAGTTGTGCAGGTTAGGTGGATTGGCCATGCTAAATCGCCTGTATTGTTGAGGGATGTGTAGCTTAGGTGGATTATAAGGGGATGGGTCTGAGTGGGATGCTCCAAGGGTCAGTGTGGACTTGTTGGGCCGAAGGGCCTGTTTCCACACTGTAGGGATTCTATGACTCTCTGTCTTCTACACTGATAGCAGAGAACCTCCTCTGAAGGTTGTGAATCTGTGTAATTCCTTACCCCAAGGCTATTAAGGCTGGATTGTTAAGTATATTCAAGGCTGAGAGAGACAGAAGAGTGGAGTTGAGGATTCTCTGATCAACTATGATCTCATTGAATGGCAGAACAGACTCAATGGTCTGAATGGCCCACTGCTGCTCCTATATTTTATGGTCTTGTATTACATTTCCCTTCATTCATCAGATAGTTATCCAAATCCTTTGGAAAGAATGATTGGCTTTGCCTCGACCACACTTTCTCGTTGGGTGAGTTCCATATCCCACTCTCAGCCACTCTGATGTTCCGCGCGTGATGCTCGGTATGCCAATGCCAATTACAGCATTGACTTCCAGTTCCAGAAGCCATTGCTGGACCTGGATCTCAGAAATCTGCGCAGAACAAATATAGTCTAGAGAGAATACTGCTCACTGCTTATGAAAGGATTTCTCTCATTTCAACTTTTATTTCTTTTATTTATCCCTGAAATACTTTTCTTTAATTCTTTCATGGGATGTGGGTAGGTGACCTCCCGGCCTCGCGCACTGACCTCACAGCCTCGCGCACTGACCTCCCGGCCTGGCGGTCTGACCCCCCGGCCTGGCGCACTGACCTCCCGGCCTTGCGCAGTAATCTCCCGGCCTGGCGCACTGACCCCCCGGCCTGGCACACTGACCCCCTGGCCTGGCGCAATGATCTCCCGGTTTGGCGTGTTGCTGGTGCAGTGTGGAGCCAGGGCTTGGTGTGGACTGGAAGCTAGGTGTCAGCGTGGTCTGTGGTACTGAACTTTTATTTCTGTAATGCTGGGCATTTTATTTCTCTATTGTCTAAGATCTTGTAACTGAAGAAGCTGCGCCTAGGTACTTTTTGTATCTAAGTCGGCAATATAATTGGCATCATATAAACATTTTACTGTACTCATTGAGTATATGTGACAGTTAAGGCTATTCTATTCTATTTATTGCCCATCCCTAGTTGCCCTTGAAAAGGTGGTGATGAGCTGTCTTCTTGAACTGCTGCAGCCCATGTGCCTCAGGCAGACCCATAATGCCCTTAGGGAGGGAATTCCAGAATTTTGACCCCGTGACAGTGAAGAAACAGCGATATATTTCCAAATCAGCGATGAGTGCTTGGAGGGGAGCTTGCAGGGTGGTGGTGTTCCCATGTATCTGTTGTCCTTGTCCTTCTAGATGGAAGTGGTTGTGAGTTTGGAGGGTGCTGTCTGAGGATGTTTGGTGAATTTCTGCAGTGCACCCTGTAGATAGTACACACTGCTGCTACTGAGCGTCGGTGGTGCAGGGGCTGGATGTTTGTGGGCTGCTTTGTTCTGGAATGTGTCAAGCTTCTTGAGTGAATAGATCTGCAAAAAACAGGGACTTATTCCATCCCTGTCTGGATGTGTGCCTCTTAGATGATGGACAGGCTTTAGTAAGTCAGGAGGTGTGTTACTCACTGCAAGATTCCTCGCCTCTGACCAGCTCTTTTAGCCAATGTATTTATGTGGCTAATCTAGTTGAATATCTGGTCAATGCTCTCATGATGTTGATAGTGGAGGATTCAGTGATGGAAACACCATTGAATTTCAAGGGGGGTTTTTAGATTCTCTTTTGTTGGAGATGGTCATGGACTGGCACCTGTGCAGTGTGAATGGCACTTCCCACTTGTCAGCCCAGGCCTGGCTATTGTTTGGGTTTACTGCATTTGAACACAGACTGCTTCAGTACCTGAGGAGTTAGAAATGCATTGGAATTAGAATTTACTTTATTGTCACGTGTCCTCAAATACAGAAGTAGAATGAAAAGTTTACAATGTCGCCCCACATGGCACCATCTTACGTACAAAGTACTCAGGTACAAATCTTGGTTACAAAATAAATAAACAAAGAAAGTTATGTTACCCTATAGTTAAAAAGACAAACATTACAGTCTTTCTATAAAGGCCCTGCAGTAGATCCGTGCAGGGGGCATTCACATGTGGTCTGACTGGGCTATCAACCCGCTGACCACCCGCACCATTCCCCAGTCCCCGCTCCAGCCTCCAGCCCACACCATTCCCCAGTCCCCGCTCCGCTCCGGCGTCCAGCCTGCACTATTCCCCAGTTCCCAGTCCCCGCTCCGCTCCGGCGTCCAGCCTGCACCATTCCCCAGTCCCTGCGCTGGCCTCCAGCCTGCACCATTCCCCAGTCCCCGCTCCACTGGGGCCTCCAGCCCGCACCATTCCCCAGTCCCTGTTCCGCTCTGGCCTCCAGCCCGCACCATTCCCCAGTCCCCAGTCCCCGCTCCACTCCGGCCTCCAGCCTGCACCATTCCTCAGTCCCCGCTCCGGCCTCCAGCCCACACCATTCCCCAT